CCTTGCGTGTTAGCACCATGTTCAAATTTGAATAAAACGCAATGCGAAAACAGCGAAAACAATGCTCTGCTAACTGCACGGATCAGATGAATCTTGTATACTCTTTAATTGAAAAGAAAATCTGTACAATTAAGGATGAAAAAGGAGTTTCTAACTATTATGAACTAATATTAATGTTCCTTATATACGTACATGAAAACTGAGCAATTTAAAATTGACTAGTTTAAACTCCGGGACGAATTCGAATAATAGTATTAATAGTACACATAAAATCAAAAATATTAATTCTTAAACAGGTTATACAAAAAGTTTTCAAAGATATTTAAGTATTGTTCTTTTGTTCATTTTAAGCAAATACCTATAAATTTCTAATATTTCTTTGGCTTAAGTAACTTTTCGTAAAATACTTTTTCGGACAAAAATGATAATTCTTAGGTCCAGTTAGGTATCAGTTATATCACTGAGGCATACTTATTCAGTTAAGATATTTTCCACATTTTCCTGATTATTTTTTAGTGTAGAACTCCCAATGTTCAATCAGAAGAAACTCTATTAAACAACTTCTTAATTGAGATCGAATTAAAAATCAACGTATTAGTTCTTGGTACAATACACTTTTTGGAATTCAATAGTTACATACATCAAACCATTTTTTTAAATATTTTTTTTATAGTAAATAGGTGTTTTAAAGGATTAATTTCTAGCAAGTCAAGTTCCATGGCAAAGTGGTGCTATCTTTTTTTGCAGACCAGTATACCAGCGATAAGAACAACGCATCGAAGTGGGTGTTGCAGGCGGCTGCTACCACTCGAGCTCATTGACGCCTCTGCCTTTGCCTTTGCCTTAGCCTTAGCCTCTTTCTGGCTATCATCGCCTTGGTGCTGCCCCCAACCTCATCCCGGACCCTCCAACCCACCAGCCCCTCATCGGATGCCCCTTGTCTGCGGAGCGACACTTTCGGCGACGCTGGGCGTAGATAACATTCTTGGCCGGCGACATTTTGCATGTCTGGAGCTACCTTCGCGTCGGGAGTCGATAAATTAGCGCATGCATCTTCATTTCGATGGCTGGGAGTGCATTAGTGCCGGTGAAAGGCTTTGGCCAAGAGCCCTTGGGCCAAATCAAGAACAATGGGACAGGATCCCCCAACTTTGCAACGTTCCTTTTCCTTTTTCTGCCGCTGAGTCATTATTAGAATCTGCAGCTGCGACTGCACCGGCGGCTCAAATCCAATTACAATGCAGAATCAGCAGGCGCACAATGGTTAGGGATTGTTGGAGCCTAAGACTTCGAACCTGAATCCAGTCCAGTCCTCTTTCCCCTTTTTTCTCGATCGGCAATTTGGCCTTTGCTGCTCGGACATGGCCGAAAGCCGCTGGCGAACATTGTCCACTCTCCGTGGGCTCTTTTGCTTTATTATAGCAACGCTTATACAGATTAGAATAAATCAACTTGTCCCCCCGCGCGGACTAGACTCGTTCTGCTCTCGTTTTGCTTGTCCAGCGATCGGAAAACGCTACCGGCAACAACAATCTCAACTGGCCAGTTGGAGTTTGCAGCTGCGTTGAGGCCTGCAGAGCAAAAAAAAAGATCATCGAAATTGGTTTATTATCACAAAATAGGTCCTGTACCAACACATATGTAAAAGAGAGTAAAAACAAAAAGGTTTTATTATTTCTAAATGGTTATCTTTAAGTTTTTGATTAAAGATTTTAAGTAAAAATTAAGTATTAAGACATTCTTAGATATACAGGGGTGGTCAAAAGTATTTGCACATTTCTTATGAGTAAGTACGTGTAATTTGTGCAAATACTTTTGACCACCCTGTATATGTAATATACCCCTAAATATACCCATATTATATATCTAAGAATGTCTTAATATTATTATACTTTAAATAATGTATATTATTTGGCATTTATATTTAAAATTTTGATTAAAGAAATGTCTTAGAATTTTAAGTATATCAGAGTTTTCGTCACGTTTCATAAAACAGCATTTAAATTGTAGCTAACTAGGTTCATACAGACAATTTTACGTGAAATTTATGATAGATAATTAATAAATTAATAATTTATCGATAAGTAATTCGGAACTGGTATGAAACTTGTTGTAAAAATATATGGGAATTAATATGGATGCGAAATTAAAGTTAAATTATATTTCGAGAAAAAAACATTATATAACATAGAAGGGTCTCACCAATCAGAAGTTCTTTTAGTGTAGTTTCTGGGATCTGGACCCTGGACTGACCACAATACTCCCCAGATAGTTGGCGGATCCCCATTAAATGCGCACCGACCAAAAGGAGATAAGCAGGCAAATAAGTTGGCTTACGCTAGAAAAGGAATTAATAATGCAAAAATGATGGGCTGCTCTGTGGGTTGCAGGTTGCTAGAGGAGGCCGACCGGACGAGGATCGGAAATGCGAAACCGGGTAATGGAAAATGGATGAAAACAACATCCAAATGATCTTCAGAGGAAATCGCAAAATGGATTCACTACTTACTTGAGAGGTTTACTGCATTTCATGGAGCAGTAACTTGGCTGGATGCCTTTCATCATTATTCTTTGGCCATTAAAATGATATTAACTATTGACCATTAACATTTTACAAGTTTTTGTCAATAGAAAAGTGCCGTTATAGCCAAATGAAGTATGGATGTAGCTTCTCTAGCTACATAAAATGTATCTGGAAAAACCAAAATGTTTATGGTTACATTTCAAATCTTGTGCTATTATCAGTTCCTTTTATGGGAGCTTTATTAGTATCAATCCGAAGTTCTTGTCTCCAGGAAGAACTTGCAACATGTTTCGAGCCTTCTGGTAAACCTTATCCCACGGCTTAAGGAAAAAAAACCATGTGAGAGTTAATGTTCTGTCCGGAACCTCCGAGAACATAAAGTTCAACACTTGGCCGCTCGACCCAAGGCAAATCTTACAAATTAAACGCATTCAAGTGCAAGGTCCAGGAATTTTGATTGGGTCAAGCGAGTCGGAGGAGTCGCGCGGTAGCTGAAAAATGCCATAACAAAATGTGTCAAGTGCCAGACATAAATGCCTAAGTAAGAGAGCTCCGAGGAGCATAAAGAACGGACCCAAACCCAAGATGCGGGAACAATGCCGAAGAATCGTCTTGTTTTCGCGGCCTGCGGCCTTTTTGCTGTTTGCACTCGCCATTCGACATGCGGCTCCTCGGATCGGATCGCCTTGGATCCGCTTGAAATGCCTTGGAACAATAAATTTTCGGTGCGTCACTTTTTGTTTGCTTCTCCAGTTGGCAGGCTTTTGGTTCTTCTCTGAGCTTTCCAATTAAAAATGCGCAATTGGGGCTACCCAATCGTTGCGACTTGTACTTATTTGTAAGTTGCACGCATTGCTCCAGCTTCGTCTCCTCATTCCGATTCCAAGTCGCTCCTTCTCCCTTCAGAGTTTCCATTAATTTACATAAAAATATCTTAATTGCGTGCCTGCGACGGCGGCGATTCGATTCGATTTTTTTGCGCTTATCAATGCCATGTCATGTCGCCGACGCCCTGAGCCTAAAACCCTGCGAATGCACAGGGAAAAAACCAAAATATCGGTGATTATAAATTATTATGCACAGCGAAAAAATATAATAAGATATTCTTATTTCTATACAAAGTTATCTCAATTTTATTTTTTAAAACTGTATCATTTAAGTTATTGATAATAAAAAAAATTTATCTTAGGAAAGTTCAGCTTCAAAAAGATTAATTTTTAGAGAAATTTAAAAAAAATGTATGTTAATTTAACCATAACTTTTATCGTTAAAACAAACATAAATCCCATATTAAAATACATTTTTTTACTGACTATATTAAGATTATACTATTACTATTGCTAGTAACAGATATAAAAACTATTGGGAATATTTTCATCCTGAATAAACTTCCCTCCTTTTTAAATGATATTGCTAAGGCAAATTAATAAATTCAAATTTTCCTAACCCCCTTAAAATAAATATTGATAAAAAAGAATGTAGAAAATTAAAATTTGGTGATCATTTTTCGCTGAGTGAACCCTCCTCCTTACTGACAAATTTGTGCGGCTCCACGTCAAGATCTCCATCTCGATCCACATGGCATCCACATCCACAAGAGGCAGCAACACATGTCGGGCGACACTTGCAACCCGCCAGTTGTGGAGCATCCGCTGTCCTCCGTCCGGTGTCCAATGAGCCCGACTCCTTTGTCCATACATAATCGCTGATAAATGTGGCTTTCTGGGCTGCAAAAATGATTTGTTGATAATTAATGCAGTCGGATAGGGGGGAACGAAAAAACTGGGGGACAAACCTCCCAAAAACTCGTTTGCCGCATGCCGCTAAATATAAAAAAAATGTAAAAGAACAGCAGCCAACAATTTGTGCCAAAGTTGTTGTTGCTGTTGCAATCAGGCCTTAAAGGCAATCAACGCACAGTAATTCATGCCGCCTGACAGCACCAGCTCCATTCTCCAGGCTCTGGAACTCCATCTCCAGATCCCAATCCCCAACCGAAACCAAAAATAAACCGAGTGAAAATCGTTTCCTAGTTTTTTTTTGCGCCTTCGTCACGCAGCTAATCGTAAATAGTAGAAAAGGGGGCGGTGGAATGGGGGGCGGGGTCAACATGATCGCAATTAATGCGGCTAAAGTTAGTCGGCTGCTTAATCGTGGCCACTTGATCAATTTAGCACGCAATGCAATTGGAAAACGGGGGAAAATGAGGAGCTAAGGAGAAAATGGGCGCCGAGTAAAAAGGAAAATAAATTTGCAACAATTTTTTTTACAACGTACCCCAATTATAATCAAGGATACATTTTATGATTTTATTTTTATTATACAAACCCCTTTTAGAAACAACTTTGGTCATCTATCTTTCCGTTGAAAGCAGAATTCTGTCAAGAGTGCAAATGCAACCCTGCGATTGACACAATTTTTTCCTTTGCAACCCTGAAAATGTTATAGGAAACAATGTCTAGCCAACCCTAAGAGCTTTAACCTTACTTTTTCTCCGAGTTTTTATTTAGTTTTGGTTTCCTTTTTTTTGCAATTTCCGAAAATGAACATTAGGAAAGCCAAAGTGGAGATGTTCACGATGTCCGAGCAGGTGTGGAAAGATGCAGAGCGATGGCAACACGGTCTTCAGCAAGGTCGGGTGTCAATGAAGCAGATCAAAGCTATAAATCTCAGATTATTCTCCACCGAGAATCGCCTGAACAATGCGGGCTCTAGACGAGAACTCCAGACCACGGAGAAACAGATCAACCATTTATATTTGCGCCTACAGCGTCCACTGACCACGATGAACAAAATCCTTCAAACGCTGACAGAGATTAGGGACAACACTGCCCGGATGTTCAATCGCTTGACTCTCTGGATGGATGACGATACAGTGGTAGAGCACAGGATCACGCCAAAACTAAAGACCTCCAAGCTTCTGGTGGTTCTGCAGTTCCTCAACCAACGCTACGATGCTGAGTGGGAGGTCAAGGAGGTGGTAGTGAGTGAGTTGGGGATCAGGCTGGTTGCGTGCTCAGAAATTTTAAATGTAGCTTGACATATCCCTTTAGATCCACAAAACTGCCTTAAGTCTACATTTTTCATATTGTAAACTTTCTACAGATTCAATTCAAAGCTATTATTATTAATTTTTAATTTAAGACACGTAGTAATGGCTCCTCAGTGTACTATTATAATATTTTATAGAAAAGTGAAGCTCTCACAAAAGTTTCTAAATCATATATGTATTTACTTTAGAAGTGTTAGATTTTTATGGATCCGAAAAAAACTGACCAATTCTAAGTAATATAGACGAGTCTAAGTCTAAAATCACGTTTTGACCACGAACAACAATTTTTTTTTAAGATACTTTCCTTAGGAAAACATTTTTATTAAGGATTTTAAAAAAACCTCAGTATCATAATAATACATCTATTACAAAATTTATTTTGTAGATGACTTAGAGCACATAAGCAACGTCTACGAGCTGGACCTTTTGATGGATGGGTGGAACATTTGCAGCCATGCTGGAGGACAGGAATTTGGAAAGACATTGCGCGAGTATTACAATATCATTGGACGCCCTCAACCTATGATTATCCGTTTTTGATCCTTTTTCTTGGACTAAAATCCCATTACATCTAAATCCACCTGGAACGAAAAACACCCAAATGCCTTAACAAATAGGAAAACCACGATATTTTTTGAATTTGATGTTAGTTTTATTTGAAAAATGTATTTTTTAGTTTGTATTTGTTATCGCCTGCTTGCCAAACAAATCTATAATCTGTAAAGAAATTACAAAAAATTGCATTTCGTTTGTCATTTGTTTTTCTTGTTTTTTTTTTGTCGTGTTTGCTTTGCACATTTAAAATTTGACCCATTTTTGACCTTTGCTATTTGCTCATCGATTTTGCTCATGTTTCTTTTCTGACTTGGTAGCAAAACAAAACTTAATTGTAATTTTACTACAACAACATTTTGTTTTTGCCCATTATATAATATTTAATTGTATATAATATATAATATGCAATTCTGTAGCTAGATTTTGACATTCATGTTCTCGTATCCAATCTCGATATATATATATAGTGTGTATGGTGACTATAACATGCGCTCATTTGTTTTATAAACAAATGTCTGTCTTCATTTCAAATTGCTCCTCTCGTCCTTCGTCCTTTTGGATTTTTGGGATCTCATTGTTTGGATGCCCACGAAACTAATTTAACTTAATAATTGCATACTTTTAGGCTAGGCTAGTAAATGGTTTTCCTCGTCAACGCTTAATGCACTTTTTTGTTTGTATTTTCCTTTGCTTTTTGTGGTTTTTCTTTTTTTTTTAATCTTTAATTAGTTCTCAAGCCTTAAACTTGCCCTTAATTAACTTTACAATGAACGTGTATAACTTGTAGTCGCTCGCATTTCCTTAACTTCCATTCCAAGTGAATTGTGGTTTGTCCTTAGATTTAAGCTAATCGTTATTTAGAAAATTTTCAACTCGTAAACTGAGTTTGTTTATTAAAAAACTGTTCCCATTTTGGTTTTTAATCCATATATATTTTTTTCCGTTTTTTTTTTTTTTTGGTTTTGTTTGCTACGAATGCTTGTTGTCAATTGTTGCTGTAAATGTTTCGAGTTGGTTTTTTCTTTAATCGTTAAACATTTGTTGTGCTTTACACTTAATTATTGCTATAATTATTTGCTTTTATTGGCGCCCGGGTCTTCGATTTCCCGGGAAATGAATGAGAGAGTGTGTGGCAACTGAAACCTTAGCTAGGAAAAACTCGGCAAGCACAATAAATATCGATCTCTAGAAAATGATTGTAAGCGGTTCCTTATTTACAGCGTGCACTTGCGTGATATATAGATATGGATGATCTACGGGGGATCGGGGAGATCTGAGCGATAGGATAGGGCAATGAAATGAAATAATGAAAAATTAGGTTTGCAAATAAGTTCGGTTTATTACACAAATAATAGAATACTAAATGAAATCGAAACTACTTAAAAGATATGCATGTGGGGTGTGTGTGTGTGTTTTTATGTTGGTGTTGATAATTACTAGAAAACGTCTTTGTAATCGTAGGTTTTGTTGTTTACACAATTTATGCTAATTAAAATACACAGGTAAAAATAATTTCATTGTTTAATAATTGTTTTCTTTTTTTTACTTAATTGATTTTGTTTTAAACTTAAACCTAGCGAAAATCGTTTCAACGTGCAAAATCAATTGTGGTTGTTGTGTTGTTGGTGAGTGTAGAAAGCTTTCCCGTTCTTTACAAGCATTATTATTAATTTGTACACATTTTCGTTTAAGTATTTCATTATTAGAAAATTGGCTATGTGAGTGGTGTGTGTGTTTGTTTGTTTGTGGGTGTGTTCAGTATCTGTGTGAAGTACAAATGTTTCCCTAGGATTATACGAATACAAGAGACAACAAAAAAACACACGAAATTAAAACTCTTCCTAACGCTCATCCTAATTCTAAATCCTGTCCTCGTCCTCCTCTTACTCCTACTCGTCCTTCATCATCTGCGCTTGGCGTCCAGATATATATAGTTTTTATATATGCAATTTACAGTATACCGTTTCAGTTAATTTATATGTTTTGTTTGTTTCCATCGTGTGGGGGTGTTTAATGCGTGTGTTTGGGTTGTTTTGGGGTTGGTTTTTACACTTCTTTCTTGTATAATTTAAATTTAAACTAATTCTCGCTTTGCACAAAAATTTACACAATTTATTGATTTAATTTATTAGATTTAAATAGGGCCTCCTTAATCTCCTCCTCCTCCTCGTTCAATTTGTTGTAAACTAATTACTAATTGTATAATTACACTTCTGTTTTGCTTTGTTGCTGCACTTGCTGCTTACGGCGAATTTGTTGTAAATATGTACAAACTTTGTTACTTAACCTAAATATGTTACTCGCTTTTCTCCACGCCGCTATTGTATATATGACCTATATGCCTACATGTGTGTGGTTGTTTGTTGTTTGCTTTTCGCTATTTCTCATTCGCTCATCGTTTTTTGTATATTTATAAATATTAAACACTAATCGAACGCCAGCCTATGTATATGTATAAAAAAATAAAATTAAACAAACAATTCTTGCACTTGACACTTTTACAAATTCTCGACGATTAATAAATAGTAATGCTGTTGCTGTTCAAGACTTATCGGTAGACGATAAAGTTATATCCGCCGCTCTCATCGGTGATCTCTTGTTTTGTTTTGTTTTCATGTTGATTATGCTAAGTAATCTGTGCGTTGCGTTAACTGCTGCTATTGCTCTTGTTGTTCTGTTGGTGTTTTTGGATTCTGTTAACTTCGATTCTTGGTTGCTTGGTGTTGATTCTGTTTAAGGTCTTTTCGGTTTTCTATTCTCCTGTTCATTGAAGTTGGTATAGCTAGTGGAAGTTCTGCAAACGGAAGCATGCGACTGCGTTTGATTGATTGAGTTTTGAATTGATCCGGGGATCGGAGATCTAGAATCTGTAGTCCCGGGATCTTAGGCTATGGCAGCCGTCAGATAGTACAGATCCATCAGCGTCTGGACATTGATGGGTAGACAGGAGAGGCGATCGTGTGTATTGGAGTCAAGGGCCAGCCAGGAAAGGGCATTGTATCCCTCGAGGACGAAGCGCAGCACATCCGCCGTGAGAATCGAGTCCAGCGGATGATCGTTTGCCGACTGATGGGCATTGGTCGAGTTGAGAATATCGTCGGCAGTCTGTATACTGGGCACATGGAGGTGTAAGGCTGTCTTTAGGAACACGGGGCATACATCTTCCAGATGCGGACAGGCGGACCAGAACCAAGCGGGCATTCGACCCGTTGGCGCTGTGGACACCATGTAGCCCACTGAAATTGGCTGTTGATTGAGCGAACCAACCTTGAAAAGAAAAAGAGAATTATTAAATGTTTTTCTTTAACATAAAATAATAGATGACCCACCTCCTCCACTTCCTGAGGCGGTGTGCACTTGAAGTTATTGCCACCGGCGCTCTGCCAACTGCGGTTGTCGTCCATGCGTCCTGGACTACCATGATTGGAAACTCTGTCTATGTGAGCTGGTTTAAGAAAATAATAAATCTTAGAAAATGCACTCAATTACTTTTATTTTTAAAAACTTACGGTCCCAGAAGAAATCGCCAATTTCCGCATCGCTGAAGTCATCGTTGCCCTCCTCTTCGAAGTTAAGGAAATCGTCCTCAACTTGCGGCTCATTCTGGAATTGGCGGGTAAAGGGCTGCAAGCAAAAAAATGTAACAATTTGTTAAAACGTTCATTTTAAATTCATTATAGTAAACTTACCGCACAGACGGCGCTGGTGGGAAAGACCAGGATGTGGGTGCAGGTAACGTCCTGTGGCGTCGCCAACGGATTCTGCATGGAGATCTGTGAAAAGCGCTCATCCGGCGTAAACTGATCGGGCATCACGCGTAGCTTGGCATCCGGTTCCAAGGTCACCAGACAGGCACTCAAAATGGTGGGTGGGTACATCAATGTACATTGCTTACACATGTCCTTAAATTGCTTGGATGCCTTTTGGAGCTGTTGCTTGCTCAGCAAATAACTCCAAGACTTCAGCTCGCTGTGTCCAATCCTTCCAATACGACCAATGACTAAACGCCACATCTGCGATGTCTGCGAGATGATTCCCATGATGAAGTCCATCAGTTTCTTCAGTGCCACATAGCGAGCGGGAGCTTTCCTTCTCCTCGCACGATTCGGCACATCGATATTGATGCAAATCTTCTCCAGCAATTCGCCCCTTTCATCTGTGGCGGTAGCCAACAGCCAAGCCTGATCTTCGCTCAGGCAGTAATTGCAATACATGACCGAATATCGGTGTTCGTTCTGGCCATGCATACTGCCCGCCGATCTGGAGAAGTCCGTTTTGTCATTCCTCTCGTGCATTGGCGCCAAAACAAAGGGAGCGGTGTACATCTTGTAGGCCCGGCGATTGGGCTCGTCCTTGGTCTTAAGGAAGGCCTCCATTTTGGCTGCCGTTCCAAAGCCAGTGAGACTTTTTACGGATTGAGCGTGAACCAAATGTCGCCGGCACTGCGAAAAAATGTTCAAAGCCAGGCACTTGATCTCGTCGGAGAAGCGCCTTCTATTGCCACAGGGCCCCAGTTCCATAACTGATTCCAGAGATATAATCTGGATGTTCATCTGCGCTCGCACCGAATCGGGAACAGCTTTCAGAAGTTCCGCATAGCAACGCAGTAGGGCAATTAAGGCCAGTCGCTCCAGTTCGCAGCTATCCGAGGCGAAAGTGAACGGATTCACCACATAAAGAACAATGGCTGATGGGTTGATGTCCTCCAAGGTCTCGCCCATGCCCAAGGGATCTCCTAGGATCAGGGCAGGTTTGCTATCCCCTGCTGCAGAGGCTCCTTTTCCCGTCCCTGCTTCCTGCTTTATTTCGTTGGTTTCCATCGGCTGAACTGGAGGTTCGGTACCCGGTTCCAGCTTGATATTATCCGTAGGCAAATCGCCGCCAGGTAAGCCAGTGGATGATAGGGTGTTTGAGGAGGAAGTTCCGCATCCCTTGGAGTTTGAGTTTCCAGAACCGTCCGGTGGATTCAGCAGCGTTTTATCATTAGGCACTCGACTCAAATAAGGAGCCAACTGGTGAATAAAAGCTACTGCATAACGACGGATTTGTTCGGCCAGAGCAGTATGCTCAAGAGTACGCAACCAGTCGTCCAATGGAGTGACTTCACGATCCGTAGGAATATTGCGAGAAGCTCCCACTTGCAGGATCCCTTCCCATCCGCGAATCGGCGTGTGTTTGCCAAGCTTGCACATCTCATAGGTGCTACTTAACTCACGGAAATAGCTGCGTGTACAACCCGCAACATGCTCGTTATCCGGACACACCACCATGTAGACCACATCCCTAGCATAGGAGTACGGTTCCAGGAGAAACTTATCCCAGTAGTGGATGGAGTGCGGTGCCACCGAGATCCAATCCTTCTCGTAACCAACCACAACAGAGGGTATTGGTTGTGGCTCACATTGTCCGGATGCACGGCCTGCCAGTCGATGGAACTGCCGCCAAGTGAGCGGTCCACTCACCGTGTTATACGAACTGGCATCTTTGGAGCCCGAGCCACCCCTTGACTTGCAGTGGAAGGCACTCTGCAGCATTGGCTGTATGGCGTTCATGGTGCGCACAATCTCCTTGTTGCTTCGGGTGAATCCCACGGGAAGATATGGCCACTTGTGGACTGTCAACCGACCAGCACCAATCCCCGCCAGCTTGTGACGCAGGGCAGGCGGTGGTACATGAAAGGCAGTGAGTTGCTGCTGCTGATGGGAGCTACTACTCCCGTTCCCGTGAAAGTCCATCATGTTGTCCATCCGTTGGTTCTCGAATGCCAATCTCGCCTGTTCCAATGCCAAGCTGATCACGTCGTGCGCATCCATAAACTCTAGAACATTGGCAATCGAAGCCAACGAGGCGGTGGGTGCTCCATTGGTGCCGAAGATCCTTCGCTGACGGGACATTCGCCTCCGATGGGATTGAAGAGCTCGGTGCACGGAACTGCTGGATGTCTGGATAATGGAGCACTGATCCAGCAGCAGGTCGAAGATAGCATGAGCCAGTTGCTCCAGTTGTCCACTTGAAACACCTCCTGCTCCGGCCTTCTCCAAAGCGGAACTCGTTTCACCCGGACCCGGTTTGATTTGGTTCTTCCTCCCCAGACTCTGGATGATACTGAGCAACGAAGGCTGCTTATTCCTGCCCGGATCATCCGCTATGCCTGTAATCTCCACCTCATCCTCGTAAAAGAGCCCAGCGCGATGGGAGAGTCTTCGATTAACCACTGCACTGAAACCACATGTACACTCTACGGGATCATCATCCACATATCCAGTGATGTGGACGTTACTGCTGGGCGGCGTGCAGGACGACGAGTTGGAGCCGCCGTTCGGGCCATGGCCATGCCCGGAGCCAGCTCCGGGCATCGAGGCGGAGGCCGGCGAACCCCCAAAGGCACTGATCATCCGCATGCCGCCAAAACCAGCGGAGCTGGGTCCATTCTGAATCCGCTGTGCAGGCGCAGCTCCTTGTGCTCCACCTCCTGTCGGAAATGGATTGAAGCTAACGCCGGGCAGGGGTACATAAACTCCGGAATCCGCTCCCCGTATATTGCCAATCTTCTGAGTATCCGCATTGCACACGCACACACTGCTGCTGTCAAAGTTGTGATCGCGAAACACGTTCAAGGCGGTATCGTACAGCAGGATGTTCACTAGTACAGAGTTCACTTCTGGTAATTCCTGGAGCAAGCTTGAGGGACCGGCTGCCACCGCTGGACCCCCACTGGCAATGCCCGCATCGCCAGTGTAGGGCATCATGCCCATGTGTCCGCCGGCTCCTGCTCCGGGACCCACGCCTCCTGCTCCTCCGCCGCCCATACCATGCATGTGCGGATGCTCCTGCGAGTGGAGTGGCCGGTTCAAGTACGAGGATGTGGAGGTGGCTGGACTGGCCACGGCCAAGTCATATGGATATGGCGGTGGCGGATGCGTGGGGGTCGCCCTCGACATGGGACTGCTCCTGGCGCCATAATGGCTCATACCGGGACCCGGTGAAATGGGCGACATCCCCGCTCGCTGCATCAGTTGCTGCATGGAGCTTCCGGGCGGCGCCTGTGGGCAATTCAACTGATTCAGCAGCAACTGACTTCCGCCACTGCTCAACGGTTGGGGCACAGTCGAGGGTGTAAGTGGTGTCCTTGGCGCCGCCGAGAGCAGATCATGAAGATGCTGATGCTGGTGTTTCTGGTGGCCAACTCCTCCCGCTGCCGCCGCTGCTGCTGCAGCTGCCGCCTGCTGTTGCTGTTGCTGATGATGCTGGTGCTGGAGCTGCTGTAACTTTTGCTGATGCAATTGGATGCGCTGCTGCAGGGCCTGATGCTTCTGATGCTGCTGCTGTTGAGCCGCCGCTGCTTTGGCCAGTGTGACTGCCCTGGATTTATGACTACTCCAAGTGGGTTGATATATACATCCGGGAGGCAGACTCAAAGGCGGCTGCGTTAGGCTAGGCAGGTTGGTCAATGGAGCATAGCGCGTTGAGCCCACAAACTTCTCCTGCTGCGGAGGTCGGTAGACAAAGTTCCAGTCATCGATAGGCTCCTCCACCGGGCTACCCAATTCCAAGTTATACTCCTGCTTAACCAGCTTGGAGACAGTCTGGATGGCCACCACGGTGACGGGAGCTTGTACGGCTGCCAGGATAATACTGGTATTGTTGGTATTGGTACAGCCAGTGGTGGTGTTGATACTACTCGTAATTGTGGTATTGCAGGTAGTCGTGATGCTACTGCTGGTTATACTGTTTGTGGTGGTGTCCACACTGAGATCCGTCATGACCACGTCCGTTTGGCACGGACTCGAGTTCGGGTGTTGTTGCTCGTGCGAAGGCGGTGTGGGAAACATCTTGGTGAGATCCTCCGCCTGGATATTGCCCGCTCCGGAGGCCGCCGCTGCTGCTGCCGCCGCTGCCGCTGCCACCACCGCACTGGCCACCGCCGTGCTCCGTTTGAGGTCTTCGATCGTATTGGTCACAGCACTGCATCCGCCGTTCGAGGGATTATTTGAGTCCGGTGGCGTGTGTATCTGCACACTGCTGCACTCATCGTTGGAGCTCGTCTCGAACAACTGCTCCAGATCGTTGAGCGAGGGATTCAGTCCCTCGGCAGTAAAGAGATTACCACCGCTACCGCTTCCTCCACCGCTGCTGTTCCCTCCACCCGAAGATTTCGAAGTCTCCTTGCACGTGGGGGAATGCAAACCGGGCTCTGTCTTAATGTCCAATCCCTGGAAGAAGCTGCTACCACTCTCGGTTTCTGCATCACTGCCATTGGCGGTACTGTTGGCAATGCCCACTAAACCACCGCTGGAACCGCCCGTCGCTGATCCTCCAACGCCTCCTCCCGCTGACGTCGCCGACACATCCAAGGAGAGAAGCTGTGAGCCATAAACTGATCCCGGCGAGGGCATCAGAGGCTTTACGTGCGTATGTCCCTCGTAGAGGTTCTTGGCATACCTGGGCCGGCGTTGTTTATCCAGTTTCGGACGCTTCTCCGACGGATGGTCCCTATGGTAAAGAAAATTCGATAGTTAGATTGATGTTTAATTTGATCCTTAAATGATAGGGTTCCGAACTTACCAGTTTTCCTGGTACTGAAAGTCATAAATGACCTCCTTGAGCCACTCGTCATCGTAAAAGCTGTCCGGATCCTTTAACGTCAACTTCGGCGGGTTGTACAGTCGCCTTAAGTCGTTCATGGCCTCCGCGGTGGAGGTGACCGCTCCTGTCCCCCGGCCCTGAGCACCCGCTTCCTGTTTGATGGCCATTGCTGCCGACGGAGTCTGCTGTTGCATCTCCAGCTTTTTAACGCTGATGGTACCCACTGCAGATCCTCCAACTGGGTTTGAGCCTCCACAGGAACCAGCTGACGTTGCCGCTGTGGGCGTGGCCGGTTGATGGGCGGGCACACTACCCGGACCAGTGCCCATGGATTGCCCACCAACTGCTCCTCCGCCGGATGCATGATCCGTATAGGAGGGCGGCTCCACGCTGGGCGTCTGATGGACATAAGGCGAGGCCGTAATGCTCTTGTTGTCGTGCTGGTCCGTTGGCGTAGGCGCCGGTGTATTTTTATCCAGCAGGTGGTCAATGGGCGTCGGCGGCTGCTGCAGGTTGGAAACGGAAGTGGGCGCATGTGGACTCATGTTGAGTAGCTGTGACGTGGGAAAAGAAAGCAACGAGTTAGTAAAATAAGCTGGCTTATAGTCTTCGTCTTCGTTTTTGGGTCGTCACTTGCACTCACTTGCTCAGCGGGCGGCACGGATGTCGGTTGAGAGTGCGCCGAATTGGGATGCGGAGAGGGAGCGGGTGTGGCCGGTGATTCTACGGAGGCAACCGGCATTGAGGAGTCGCCGCCCAAGGAATTCCGGGAGTACGTTGAGGCTCCGCCATGTGGCGTTCCATGAGGTGTATTCGCCAGATGTCTGTTGGAAAAAAGGAAAGAAAAATATCATCATTAGCATGGTGGTAACAAGTATTCCCAAGTTAAGTGAATTTTATTATTTTGAATTAGGTTATGTACAATGCTCAAACTACGGATAATGTAGCTATGGATACACAGGATTGCGTGTATATTAATCATTTAACGTAATGTATGGTTCGGGGTACTTCAGCAATTGAAGTGTCCCAAAAATAACTATAGGCAAAATTAAACAATAAACCACATCCATTGTTTTAGGTTTAAATAAATTAACAAAACCTTTACAGCTGCAAAATAAAAGATTTTATATGAAGTGCTTGGCAAATCTCTACAAATTTATAAACAAAATTAAATATGTTGCTTTGAAATACTGATCTTAAGAAACTTTTTCAAATCAAAAATAATGCAAAATGTGCTAATAAAATATTATATGGCATCTAATCACAAATATTTTAAATCAAGAACTTCAAATTCGTGGATTGACACCCAAATAATTTTCTTTATAAGCTTTAGAGATTTATTAAACACTCATTTCATTTGTATTATATATGCAATTGTTATTTACAAATTGAAAAACCAGCGAAAGAAATCAAAATCATTCCACAAAATGCATAAAAACCTAGAAGAATAAAACAAAGATCCATGCGGCACCAAAACCAAAGTACTCAAACCCAGTATCCAACAGATACTCGTACTCAATCCAGTACCGAGTACTTGCGAAACGGGCCATGAGAAAATGAGAACGACAATGGGGAAGTGGATTTGGGGGGTGGACGAGAGTAGGGGGCAGTAGATACTAAGCTAGTTAAATGCTACGAAACGTGTTGTATGTCCTCGAAGTTAAAAATATTTTACAATTCGTAATTATATCGTTGCTCGCAGTCTTTTGTGTTTTTGCATTGCTTTGTTTTTATTTTTTGATGTTGCTAATTAACCATTTACCAAGTGAATTAGATTTAGAAATTGTTATTGCAAAATGGCGGCACGCGAATGTTTTTTGTGTGTGTGTGTGTGCTGACTCCTTTTTTGGGGGCGTAGTGAATTAAAATGTGCCCTTCTTTGATTCCAGTGTACTTTGTTAGGGGGCAGAAATAATATGCTCAAAACCAACCAACAAAATAATAAAACATAAGAAAATCATAAGGTTAACAGAGCGTGTGAAGAGAGTGGATAGAAAAATATATAAATGTGGAGAAAGAGCGAAAGTAGGAGTACGGGTGGAATACAGAGCAGCGGTCAAAACAATAGCACTAAATGCCTTTCACTTAATGTAGATTAATATGAGAATTATAACTAATTGTCTTTTTGGACAGACCATTTAAATATTTACTTATTTACATTTCCTTAATGTTTTTTTTAATATTTTTTATATTCATTTTTTAAAAAGCAGCCAAAATTATCATTAAATCGGGCATTTTCTGAGGCCGCAAATTATCCAATTTTTTTATATTTCTTTTATTGCATTTAGAATCAAGCAAATCACTTTGAGAAAAAATATAATTATATTAAATTACCTAATTAAATAATTAAAAAGTCCTATATCCCCTGTGCTTTTGTTTTGACCACAACCGTATATAAAAAAGATAAAACTGAATAGCGTTAAACTAAAATCATAGGCAGCACTGGCTATAATGAACAGACGCCACTCCACTCAACACACAAACCTTTGTTTTGGTATATTGGTGTCTGTTGTGGTGTTGCTGTGGTTTTTGGCTCTAAACGTGGCCGAGGAGGAGGCGGTGGATGCCAGCGAATGGAGCAACCGCTTGTGGAACGGCACATTGTGACGCCGGAGGGCGGTCGCGGAAGAATTGGAGGCGGAAGTGTTGCTCAGGGAACTGGAATGATGCGATGTAGCTGCTGCTGCTGCTGCTGATGCTGATGCCGGTGGCACAGGCGTTCCCGGTCGCTGTTGCTGCTGCAGATGTTGCTGGTGGTAATGTTGTTGGTAGGACGACGACGATGAAGATGATGACGACTTATTGCCGCTGGCACCGGTAACTGCTGCTCGCAATGCCGGCGATCCCAGCGGTTGCTGTGGTCGCTTGTTGTTGCTGATGTTGCTAATGTGGCTGTTGCTAATGTTGCTGTTGCTACTGATGCTGCTGCATTGGGCGCTGAAAATTGTTTGTTGGGTATTTTTTTCGGGTTTTAGACACTAGCAACACAATTTTAAACGTTTCGCTTTCGTAGCTCTGTCTTTTGGCTGAAGGTTTTTATTTTTTGTTGCTGCTGTGTGGGTTAGGTAACTCAAAAAAAAAATTTGTATAGAAAAAAGAACAAAAAAATCTATGGCCTAACGCATGCACAGATAACAGCAAAACATGGTCAACTACCGCCTTTAACTGCCTACAGCTTGCTAAGGTAAAGGTACTTTTTGGGCATGCCATCAAAGCGGGTTTTTTTGTGGTTTAAGGGGGGTTTATAGGTTTTTAGAGGGAGCACAACATCTCCCCTACATCAATTTTATGTGAATATCAATATCATATAGGGATAATATTAAAAAAATTATTCTAATAGAGGCAGCAAAAAGATTAGAAAAAACACGCGCAGGGATAAAAAAAAGGTATTTCCAAAATCTCTAGAAATGTAAACGTACCCAATAAGAATGTAAACTTAAAAAAGATTTTCAGAAATTTACTTTTCCCATTATAAAGTGCTATACTTCAGGGGTCTAAAATTATTTTCAGCAAGACTATAAAAACCAATTATTGTTTCTGATGCTAAATCTTTAGTCAAAGAAGCTACAGAAATATTCAAGAACCACTCTGCGGTAAATTTTTTAAAAATGTGTCCAACCGTATTTCGTATTGTTTTTTCGTATTTCTTTAATTACATTGACACTTTTCCTAAAAATATAAACAACCTTAAATAACACTTAAATTTCCCTCAATTTCTTGATAATAGCCGATTACAACAAACAAACTCAATAAGAAAATATAAAATAGCACAATAAATAAATTATCTTGGACAATTTCAGAATCTTAAGCTACAATTTGAATACCTCTAGAGATTGGAGAATACCCTTGCATATAGAGAGTAAATAAGAGGTCAGGGGGAAACTCTTCTACAATTTTTAACGAACTAAAAGAACAAAACTCACTTTGTGCATATGCAGGGCGCCTTTTGCATGGGATCCACAAAGTTCCAGAGCTTCTGACGCTGCTGTTGCTGCTGCTGTTGAATCTGCTGCTGCACCTGTTGCTTGGAATCCTGCTGCGGCGGTTTATTCTGCTCATTCTCGTCGCCATCTGTCGATGCCCCAGTTCCGGAGGAAGGTGTAGAAGATGCCATTGCTGCTGCCGCCGCTGCAGCATCCACGTGGAGCGTGTTCATCACGCAATCCTGCCAAGTTCGTTCTGGCATTTCCACAGCAGCCGAGGCGGGTATGTGAGTATTGTTGGTATTAAAGGTGAAGCCCGAGGTGGGCCGTTGATCATAGTAGGGCTGGAAGGCGAGACGCTCCAGGGCGCTGACCGCTTGAGGAGCTGCCTTGCAGGATACCTCTTTGGCGGAGGCGGAGGAGGCAGAGGAAACTGCTCCTCCTCCTGGAGCATTAAGGGAAGCAGGGCCCATGGGAATCGCTGTAGCAGAAGGACCCGCTCCTAGAGAAGGAGGAGCAGCCGCAGCACCCGGTGGATAGGAGAGCGAGGCCAAACCAGAAGCCTCAGCCGCCGCTCCGCTCACCGAACTTTGCATCTTCTGCATCTCGACGAACTCCATGTGCTCCATGTCGTCCAGATCTGTGACTAGTACGTAGTTCGTGGGATGATACATCTTATGACCACCTGACGATTCAGTTTATATAGGTTAGATTACAAGTAAGCATTTATCTAGTGAGATTAACTCACCCGAAACCACTTCCACCACGGGTGGCACGTCCGTGTTATCCTTATTGCACAGCGGAAAAAACGAGGCCCAGTCCTCGAGGATCTTCTCGGCTATGGGATCGCTGGCCTTGTAGCTATTGCCGGTGAGTATGGCCGCGATTCCAAACGGGGCCAACATCACCTTGCGTGCATGCGCCGGTGGCGCCGCTTTAGCTGCTCCTTCGCCACCATCCAGTGGCTCCATACCGGCTCCATTCGGATCTTGACCAGGATTAGGCACTGCTCCGCCTGCTGACGCCGCAGATCCTGCCGATCCTGGCGGGGAACTGGCCGCTGCAAAAGCGGCCGCCGCCTCGGCCAAATGCTCCTTGGTCAGCGGACGAACGGCGGGATGCTCGCGCAGATCTATGGAGGCGCAGACGGTGTCGCCGTGAACGAAGAACGTGAATGAGAAGGATAAGTGCTGGGAGCTGTAAGAAAAAAGGGAAAGTATTAGCAAAAATAATCGCATAGGAAGAATGGGAGACTAAATTAAATGGGTAACACTTGTCAATAACTTGACCTTTAACTTATTACCTCTTTTAATTAAAGTTCTTTAAATAAACTCTATATTTGGTAAATGAAATATTTCTCCTATTCTTTTTCTTAATTTATTTTAACGTTAAGCTTCGTATGACTAGAGTTTAAATCAAATTTGTAGTTTATATAAGCAATTACGATAAAAATTAAGCAATAAATGTAATCAATTTACTGATACTGATGATTTATACATAATTTGCCTATTAATTCATTTATTTTTAAGTTTATATAAGCAATTATTAATTCTTAAAAACATTTATTCATTTATTTACTGATTTGACAAACGTAAGGGGGGCAATAAAAACCAAACAACCATTAATATTTATCGATTTTTAATGACTTTCCCCATGAAAATGAGCTAGCTAAATATGGTTCACTATCAATTTCGTAATGTGGAAACTGAACTACATAAGCATTATTCTTTTAATGGTTATTATAAGTAAGGCAAAGGCTTTTTGAAAATGTCGCAGGAAGAACGATGCAATGTCACAAGCTTCAATGCCATTGCACAGAGTTCCTGTTCTTTATTATAGGATATGGTCTTAGTGCGAATTGGATGTGATTTTCAGCATGTTCGCATAAATTAAGTATTTTATCCAATAGGGTAATAGATTGACTGATTTCTTTATTTACACATCATACCTTCGTCCAAAGAGACGATCGCTGGAGGTGCAGGGCTGCACGAACCATTTGCCGAATCGAACAATGTCCTTGGTGAGCACGAACCTATAATGGATATTGGATTAAATTTTATCAGATTTAAAGCTCTGGATAGTATTACCTCTCCATGAGATTGTGCAGCGCTTTGAACAGCAGCGATCGGCACTCGTAGGTGAGGGCTCCTTTCCAGGTGCCATTCCAAAGCGCTTGGTTGGCTAGAAAAATAACAATAAATAAAGGACATTTATTAGAATTATGAGTTTTTAAATGTAAAATATTTATTGTAGTAAAACTGCTAATATTTCACCATTGTTTTTGTAATGGTTATAACGGTCAAGAGAGTTATTTTTATACCCTTGCAGAGGGTATTATAATTTTGGTCAAAAGTGTGCAACGCAGTGAAGGAGACATCTCCGACCCTATAAAGTATATATATTCTTGATCAGGATCACCTCCTGAGTTGATATAGCCATGTCCGTCTGTCCGTCTGTCCGTCTGTCTGTCCGTCTGTCTGTTTCTACGCGAACTAGTCTCTCAGTTTTAAACTTTGCACACACCCTTCTTTCCTTTGCACGCGGTATATAAGTCGGAACGGCCGGGATCGGCCGACTATATCCTATAGCTGCCATATAACTGATTGATCGGAAATGCCATAACTCTGCTGTTTGTTAAGTTAGGAAGTTGGGACTTTCTATGGGTTTTATATTTGGCCAATCAATCCGACCTAAAATTTCATATGGATCGGCCGACTATATCCTGTAGCTGCCATATAACTGAACGATTGGATTTTTTATGAGTATTAAGAATGCATCATATGAATAATTTTGGAGAATATAATTTGCAGAATATTCTGCAAGGGTATTTCAACTTCGGCTCCGCCCGAAGTTAGCTTTCCTTTCTTGTTTTAAATCGGATTATTGATATTCAAGGGAAAGTTTTAATAAAATTTAATGACTCTGACAGTTAAACTCATTAGATCGTAATAAAACTTTTAAGATCAATAGGTTATTGCCTTTTACAGTGATATTAACTACCAGTAATTTATTACTCATATTATCTATCATATTTAAGTTATTTCAACATTCGACATTTCCTAGTTTCAGATCTGAATGGATTTTCAAATACCGGGTAATTTCGTCATCACGTCGCACTTAAATTTCGAAGATTTTTGGGGTTCATTCAAATGTAAAAGTGGAAAATACCAACCACAAATAAACAAAAACAAGTAGAGGAGAAAATAAATATAATTAACAACACTAAGAAAAACAATGAGAAGAGTCGCCTACAACGCAAAACAATCAACATCTTATTTTCTCTTTCGCACTTTGCCTCTCTCTTTCTCGCCAAAGAGAAGTCAACCACGCGCACACGCCTCGAAAAAAAAAAACAAAATGTTTTAGACTATTTATTTTTGTTTTGTTTTCGTTTGTATTTCTGTTGCTTTTTTGGAAAATAACAAAAAAAAAAACTTAGAGCAAGATAGCTAGGACGCCAAAAAAATAAGCTCAGGCGGGACTAAAGAAAAACTGTGGATAAAGATAAAAATATGAGTAGAGTGGAAAAATGCAACTTGAAAGAAAAGAAAAAGAGAGGAAGACAAAAAGCCGCCAGGCAACAAAATACAAATCCCAAAGCGGAAGTGCAAACACTTGAAAACAACTATGTAAAAGTGCAAGCATGTAAAAGGAAAAGAGAGTATGAAGGAGGAAGAGAAAAGAAAAGAAGGGAAACAATTTGTAAAAGAAAAAGGACAGTTTGAAAATTTTTGGAAAATTCCAAGCATCCACCACCTGCAAACGCTCATGTAGCAAATCTCTATTTCTCTCTCTTTTTATTCTTTTATTCTCACGCCTGCACTGATTTTCGCTGCTTCTTCTTTGTCTTTTTGGTCAACAAATGTTGCAAAGCTAATTACATAAAGGTAAACAACATATGTAGGCAATAATCAAAGATAAAGCCACTGAAACAAACAACTGTTTGTATGAGTTTTTTGTGGGAACTGCTTTGCATTTTTTTTTCTCTTCAATGAGATCAGCGTACGTTTTATTTTTCAAAGACGCTTAAAACTCACACATAGATATTAAAGGGCAATGTACGATTATGCCAATGTGTGTGTGAATGAGTGCGTGAGAGAGTCTGCCTCCTTCTCTCTCTTTCTCCTCCTCACCACTATTATTATCCCACCATCACCATATTTCCCATACCCACTTCCAATTTCCATCCTGCAAGCCGGCTCTTCTTCGGTTCTCTTCTTCCCTGAGGTCACAAACACACACATTAACACACTCGACCAACGGCAAAAAGTTCAAAGCTCGCCAAATAAAAAAAGCCCACAAGGGTAGGCCAGCAAAAACAAAAACAACAACAACTGCAGCTTCAGTCGCTCTCTCAGCAAACAAACATAATCAAGAGACGAGACAAAACAAAACGGTACGACAAACAAAAAAAGCAACAAAGAACTAGAAGTGACTTCAAGATAAAGCAAACAAAATTCAACGTCCACGCAAAATCATCTTTGATGGTTGTAATTTTACTTTTCTTACATATTTCAAATGGTTATTAAAAAATGTCTTTGTTGAACGATTAGTTATTAAATGCATTGTTTGTTTAAAAATGTAATTTAAAACAAACCAACAATTTTTTCTTGAAAATGAAATGAAAAATTATACAAGATTAAAAGAGAAAATGAGGATATATAGTAAAGATAATAACTAAAAAAATTACCACTTTCACCACACATAAAAAATCTTTGGGTTCTAATCTAAGCAATGTTGTTACTCTAAAAAAACATTGATTTTATTCCTCGGGACTTGACATTATCGTCCATAGCTGCCATATATGTGCATATTTTCCAACTTTTCCAAAAATCTTCCCAACCTCAGAGCTTCGGAACAGGAATCGTAATCGGGTGAAGTGAATCGGAATCGGGAATCGGAATCGACGGCGACTGCTCAATGCAAATTCCACAAACACACACATGCCCATCTGTGTGGGTGAATTTTTTTTAGCACGTGTGGTTTGTGCACATGTTGCTGCTGCTCTCTCTTTCTCTCTCGCTCCCCAAGAGAGAGGTGTAAGTCTCTGCGGAAAGTAGCGAGTAAGAGAGAGTGATTGCTTGGGAGACAAAGTGCCGCTAGGTGCACTCGTTCACCCACACACACACAATATTTTCCGCACTCTCTTTGCTGCTCTTTTTGTTTGTGGCCCAAAAAAAAAACAATGCTATTTTAGGTTAACATTTTGCTAACGCAGCATATCACCCTCTCTCACCTTCTCTCTCTGTGAGAATTTCACCACAATTGTAGCGTCAAATTAAGTAAAGAGAGCGTTATTTAGCACTTCTGCATCTTCCACAACAAGAAAAAAAGAACACAGCACCAAGCAGCAACAAACGTTTAATCAAGGTCAATAATCTGCCGCACACACATCGAAAAAATGTTTAGTAAGCTCAACAACAAAGCCAAAATGCAAAACCAAAAGCAGGTAAAAAACATGAATGCAAAAGGCAACAAACAACAAAATGATCAAGAAAGCGCATTGTAATTAAGCTTGCAAACCAGTTTAAGCTCATTGAGAGAGAAGAGACGCAGATGAGAGAATCGCTTTCTGTCTCTCAGAGAGCACCACGTAATTATTGGCTCCAATTGTGGAGCACACGCACACAGCGACCCCCAACACGCTAACGCACACACGTAAAATTGACAGCTGTTTAAGGTAAAAATTGTATGGCATCAAAAATACCACAACAAACTTTAAGTACAATGACAACAAGTAGCGTGTGTGGGGTGTTTTTTTTAGGAGAGGTAGGAGGTAAAAAATGCTAGCATACAAGGAAATTTGGGGCTAGGGCTACTAAAATTTTCCATCGCGTAGGCGTCCGAAAAAAATGGCCAAAAACACATACAAACAGGAAGAAGAAAGACAAGCTCAAAGCCCTACAAAATGAAAAATAAATTGGTTCACAGTGGCAGTGGTTTAAAAAAAAACCTCATTGGATTAACAACTAATTAAATTAAAAAAATTTACAAAATGCATAATACGAAAATGGTTAGAAATTATCTATTAAGATTTACAATGGCTTACCGCCTAAATCAAATTCTGTTTTATAATAAGTTATGTATATCCAATCAAACATTGTTTAATAATGCCTAACAAGATACGTATCCTTGGAAAACTAAAAAACAATATTTCTATTTATCTTAACTAATTACGCACAATTTGTGGTTATAACAAAAATGGTAGTAAGTGAAAAAGCCCCTTTATTTCTTCAAGCTTGGATATTTATTTTCACTGTGCAGGCTGGCTGAGATTTGCGGCGTTGCCGTTTTCAGCCACAAAAAATCAGAGAAACAATGTGCTCTCTCTTCGCCTCTCTTTGTGAATTTCATTCACACGCACTCGCACACACACCCACACCAACATGATGGGGGACGGCAATTTTTTGCCAGTTTTGTTGTTTACGGCCGAAACAAAAAGGCTATAAAAAGAAACCGAAAATTCGCACAAACGACGGAGACAAAGTAATGTCAATGCAATTAGTCAATGTCCTTGTCATTAAAAAATGCAATAATAACAAAATCAAGGCGTTGCAAAAGTGACAAAGACAAAAACAAAAACAAAATTTCATCAGCGGTAAAAGCTACGTGCATTCAACTCTCAACTTCAGACAGCGAAAAAGTGCGCGCCTAAAAAAAAAGCGTTAACGCAAGCAGGCAGCAATAGCTAACTGTAAAATCAGTGGGCCCCACAATGACGTAGGCAGATAACGAAATATACAGTCAAACTTCCGTATCTCGTATATTAATCGGGCAATTCAAAAACAACTTCTGTATATTTAAGTACATCTAGTAACTGAATCAAAGTTATACAGAGTTTTAGGTTTAAATAACTATTAAAATAAGTTTGAGTTATATTTAAACCCTTTTTTCATTTTTTTACAATAAAATATATTTTTCAATGTTTTACAATGGAGACGGAAAAGTTTGCATCTGAGTTTAAAAATGTATATTAAGGGAATTTTTACGTTTATTTTATTGCCAAAGATATTAATACAGATATTTAGATATTTTATTTAGAAAACTTCCTCTGTGAAAAATTCTTGTGCGTTTAATGACTCTTTAAGTCAACTCTTTTTTAGGTCTGGTAAATCTATTAAAACCTATTAGAGGAAAGTATTCATTCATTTTATTCAATATTAAAATAAGCAAAAATTCGGCATTAAATTTTTGCAAATAAAATATTGAAAGACTATAACTTATAAGATATACATAAAAGTAAGCTTTTAGATTACGGCTTTTCGAATCTTGGACAACCTGTGGTTGGTTGTTAGGTAATGGAATTTGCCATGGAAAACCGAAACCCAAATTCAAATTCTACAATGCACGATGTACCTAGTACGTAGTTAGTGGTCACAGATAATGAAGCAATAACAAAAATATTTAATAAATAGTAGCCACACGCAATGGCTGATAAGAGGAGAAAGAAAGGGAGATAAGGTGCGAACGAGAAGGCGGGAGGGTGAGCGAAAGAGAGAGCTTCTTTCGAAGGCCAGTGTGTATTGAACAATCCCCACAAGAGCAAGCGAGAGGGACGGAGAGAAAGAGGGAGAACGCGAGAGCACCCTTCTTTTTCGTTTGCATAATTACCAGAGAGCAAGAGAGAGCGAAAGAGAGGGCGAGCGAAAAACATTGCAAATGACAGGTGACGTTTTAGCACTGCTTCCTCTTTCCCATTTTGCACAGTAAGAATTAATTAGAATTTTAAATTAAATTGAGGATTTTATATCTTTTTTTCGACCAGTAATTTACTAACAAGAATCAAACAATATTAGTGTTAGGTTTCTCGAAAAAGAATAATCGACTTATAAGAGCGTGCCTATCATTTTGGAATTGAAACTTTTCCATATTAATAGAGAACTGTCCCAAAGTTAAATCTAAAGAAATTCGCTTGGTAAAGAATAGGAATTAGGGCCCTTTTTTCATTCATATACCAAAGATTTGTAAAATTTTTTTCTGTGTATTAGGGGTTAGGTAAGGGGGGAGGCCGCCTACGATTGACGTTTGTTGCTGTTTTTCAACTTTTTTTTTTGTTATTTTTCTGTTGCTGACGGTCCAAAACGACGCCGTATGAGTTAAATGACGCCAAAGAAAACTGAAAAGGAGCGGGAGAAGAGGCAGAAAGATGGCAAGGGATGGAGAAAAAAGGAGAGAAGCAGAAGAGCAATAATAACAATAATCATCTGCCGCAATCGAAATGTATTTCGCGTGTTTCTCTGTTTGTTTGTTTGTTTGTGTGTAGCGTTGTTTTGGCTTTTCTCACACAGAAACACCCACACACACACAATTATGCCAAAAGAGATGGCGAATATTTGTTGTTGCACTGCATGCGATGGATGCGGCCTTGAAGCTTTATTAAATTCATCACCCAGTTGCATGTGTGCGTGAGTATCTGTGTGTGTGGGAGAGAAAGAGAGAGGGAGAAAATATTACAATCAATCTTGAATGTAACACTTATTTTTTAGCATGCTAGAAAGGTTTCCCGGTTCATATATATTTGGTAAAATGAGCTAACTTCTAATTTTAAATGTATTCTTCCAATAAGGTTTTCAACTATATTTCAGGAAAATACATTTTTTTCTATTAAACTCAAATTGTAGTCTCATTTTAGGTTAAGAGATTTTAATTGACACACAAGTTTACCACCAGTTTGTAAATTTTGGTTAAATATTGCAGTGTCTAGTTGTTACAAATTCGTTCCCAAAAAAAGGTATGACAACTTACCCGCTACTCTGATCAGCTCGGCGTCGACCAGTTCATTGAGATCGGGCTCCTCGCCATACCAGAAGATCCAAAGCTCCTTAGCGGCGGCCAGCGAAAGGGGCGGGTGAACCTTGGTCGAGGTGGTGATCTCGAAGGTTAAGGCATTGGGTTCGGCGTTGTCCGTTTTCGTGGATTGGACCCTCCTCCAGACGCACAGCATGTCCGCCTGGATGCATCGCGAATAGGAGCGAAGTATTGGGTCTGCCAAAGGATCGCTTGATGCGTTCGGCCGCTCCCCGTTAACGAACTTCTTCCATTTTATTCCACATAAATCAGTCTGTAAAATATTAATAAAGAATTGGTCATTAATGCGTATTAAAGCAGGTAATGGTAGCCAGACTTAATTACAAATAGGTTGTGTAATACACTTAACTGATAACTACTACTAAACATCTTTATCTATTTAAACAAGAAAGGAAAGCTAACTTCGGGCGGAGCCGAAGTTGATATACCCTTGCAGAATACTCTGTAAATTATATTCTCCAAAATTATTCATATGATGCATTCTTAATACTCATCAAAAATCCCAACTTCCTAACTTTAAAAACACCAAAGTTATGGCATTTCCAATCGTTCAGTTATATGGCAGCTATAGAATATAGTCGGCCGATCCTTATGAAATTTAATAGGTTGGATTGATTGGCTAAAAATAAAACCCAAAAAATCCCAACTTCCTAACTTAACAAACACCAAAGTTATGGCATTTCCGATCGTTCAGTTATATGGCAGCTATAAGATATAGTCGGCCGATTCTCATGAAATTCGGTAGGTCAGATTGATTGGCCAAATATAAAACCTATAGAAAATCTCAACTTCCTAACTTTACAAACACCAAAGTTATGGCATTAACGATCGTTCAGTTATATGACAGCTATAGGATATAGTCGTCCGATCCCGGCCGTTCCGACTTATATACTGCGGCAAAGGAAAGAAGGGTTGTGCAAAGTTTCAATTCGATATCTTTAAAACTGAGAGACTAGTTCGCGTAGAAACAGACAGACGGACAGACAGACGGACAGACGGACAGACGGACAGACGGACGGACGGACAGACGGACAGACGGACATGGCTATATCAACTCAGGAGGTGATCCTGATCAAGAATATATATACTTTATAGGGTCGGAGATGTCTCCTTCACTGCGTTGCACACTTTTGACCAAAATTATAATACCCTCTGCAAGGGTATAAAAAGAAGCTCCTATCATTTGTTTACCCCGCTGTGACGAAAGATCTATGCCCATATTATACTTTTTTATAAATGACGTACGGTAAGGCCAATATCAGACTTAACTCAAGATTTGTTATTGCAGCTGTTTAGGAAATATTCTGAACAAAGAAAAGTCACAAAAGTACTACATAATTTATTTCGAAAAGGAAGTTCATTGGATTACCTCCACCTAATTTGCACATAAATATCTTGATAGTAGTAATTTGAAATCGGAGATATCGATAGTAATTGGTTAACCTCCAAAATTTGTAAAAATAAAAAAGAACCCCTAAATATAACATTTTTAGTCGATTACTACTTTCGTAATACAAGAAAACGATAAGCAGTTTTTTATTTCACTTAAAAAAAAGAATTTAATGACCCATTAAATTGATGATCCGAATCCATTTTTAAATCTATAGGTAGGTAGTTAATGTTATTTCACAATGATTCGCAATAGTTTGTGAAATCTTAGCTGCTCAGTTTCATAAATTAAGAAATCCCTTTCAAATTTAAAAATAAAGTCATCATTTATTTTCTGACTCACTGAGATTTCGATTTTAAATAAAGCCAATAAGCTTAACATTAAACGCAAAAATCTAAAAATGAGGTTTGCTTGAATTACTAATTTATGATTTTGTCACGATCTGAAGAACTTGTAATGAATATGAAGGTTTGGAAATTAAAACAATTTAGGTTGTTTTATGCGTATTACGTGGAAGATATCTGATACTAAGACTATTTAGCTGACCAAGTACCTAAGTGAGGCTTAATATTGAAAATTATTTACTTTTTAAACTTTTAGTTTCTTTTAATTCTGATAGCTTTTATTTCTTGTGTTCTTTTTAACTTCACATATGTATGGTCAACATTTTTAAAATATACATCTACAAAGTATTTGCATACAATTAACTTGATTTTAATGGTGTTGTATGGTGCTACAATTATGTTTTAGGAAATCTGTTTCAAATCTTTTTTTTCTGTGTATGTCAATCTATGCAAAAACGATTATTATCTTGAATTGTTGCCCACTATTTTACCAGTGTTGCGAAATCTTGCAAATCGCACAAAGATACATTCCTCATTGCACTTGGCAGCACCAACAACAATAAAAACGACCAAAGCGAAGCTCGAAAATCTTCCGCTGCCTCGCAACTCAAAACAAAAGCACGAAAAAAACGTCAAGGAAGGGGGAAAGAAGAGCGAGGAGCGGAAGAGGAGCTGCAGCAGAGACAAGAAAAACTTGGGGGCACCGAAGAAGAAACAAAAAGCGAAATCAAGAGAGAAGCACTGAGGAAAAGAAGAATGAGTGACTTGACTAACTGGGCTCGTTGGCTTTTAGCTTTTTTAGCCATTTGGGGTCGTCATTGGCGGCTTCCGTTGCAGAGTTGCGTTGGCTTTATACAACAATCCCCAATTCCAAATAAAAACTTGAAACTTCTACGAAATTGCAAATAAAAAGTTAAAATCTACTCACAGAAACTTTGACAGCATTAAGCCAAACCTACTGAAATTTAATAAAACATACCCCTATTAATCAGAGATTAAATTTAAACTGTAAAACATAAATTTATCGGTTAATTTTATAACCGTGGCCCTAGTTTAACTTTTAATGCAAAACCATTACCTAAACGAAACCAATCAGTTTAAAGTTATGAAAAGAAAATGCTGCTTTTAACTTTTTAAGTAATACTTGTAGTTTTTATTTGCTCTATTTGACAAATAAAATATTTTTTTGATCATAAAGTTGTTATTATTTTATTTAAATCAAAGAACACATAATATTTAAAATTGTAATTTTAGTAGCGCACAGTTTTATATTCAAAGCATTTAAAAGCTTAAAACGAATTAGAAAAAGAAAGTTCTCGCAAACAAAATTCAAATACTTGATTCCAAACATCGTTCTTAAAAATAAAGGACTTGTGTATTCAAAATGTTGTATTTCTCCTCTAACATTCAGATATTTTGAGTTAGGGAAACTCGACTTATGAGGTTTTGAGATGCAAGTAACTGTGAAAAATGGAAACAAGTTTCTGGTGTGGCAAGTGGCAACTGAGAAAGCAGTGCAAAATCAATGGGCCAAAGCGAGATGGGGCCAAAATAAATAACTGCACCTTTACATACATACAAACATGTAGAGGCGGGCTGGCGTACGCACACCAGCACACCCAAAGGTATTCCCCCGAACCGGCCATTCTCCCCAAATTATCAAGCCCTCTCTTTTTTCCACAACACCGTCTTGACGACAAAAATGTTCCACATTCTTCCGCTGCCTCCTCTTCTCTTCGGATTTGGCCATTTTTGTGTGTCTTTATTTTCGCTCTCATTTCGTCTCGCTGCTTTTTCTTCGTTTCGGTTTTCGGTTTTTTGGCTTGGGCTTTTATTTTTGGGCGAGCTATCTCGTAGGTTGATTTTTTCTATCTTTTATCTGGCCACTGTACTGGCTATCTTTCTCCCTCTCGCTTTTTGCAATCCTTCAACGAGAGCGCGAGAGAGAGCGTGTTTCCCACTCTTTTGCTGTTATCATTCCGACATGCTTATGCTTTTTATGTGTTTGCATTTGTATTTGTTCACGCGCGCGTGCCTCTCAAGTTCAAACTGCTCTCTTGTTCGCCGTCTCGCTCTGTCGCCTTGCTCAGAGAAAGTTTGGCGCGTTTGTTATTGTTTCGTTATTTCGTTGGCGTCAGCCTCTCCTCCTCCTCTTCCCCTTAGGCTGCTCAAAACTCTCCAAGAGAGTTGTAAGTAGAGAGAGAGCCAGCGGAAGGGAGAGATAAAGAGAGGGGAAAGTGGAGCACGTTGACTTGTACGCATTGTCGTCGTCATCGCCTCTTTTTCTTTCGGCTTTTCCGTTTTTTTCGGCTTTTGTATGTCTTTCGTTTCACCTATCTCCTCTTTCCACCGTAAGATTCATTAAAGAAATATGCCAAAGAGAAGAGACTACAATAGCAACAATCACAAGCGGGACCAACAAACTAGTCGTACTACCCAAGTATTCAGTCGCGGGTTTTGAGTTTTTAGTCTCGACTTTTGTGACTGGGGGAGAAGGAGAACCTGTTATGGGCCACAAAGTCACCGAGCCGCAGTTACAAAACAAAACCCACAAAGCCACAGAGCAACAGCCGCCAGTTGCCACAAAGACAGACGTTTTTACAGCTACAGTAAACACCCAGTAATCTGATATACCAAAAACTGAAGTTTCTACAAATTAAAATATTCTATCCAATGGATATGGTACATCCAAATAATTGACTATCTACATAACTTAATAGACCTGAACCGACCAACCAAATGATTAGTTTTTAGGATTATCCAAAAATGTTTACTTTAATTATAATATAAGGATTTATACGATTTTTGCATTTAAGGTTAAAATTTAAACTTTTAGAAAGGATAAAATATTTATAAATAAAAATATCATGTGCAAAATATTTAAAGCTGTTAAAAATGTAATAGATCTACACAGTTTACATTTTTGTAACATTTTTTTCGAATTATAAATTTCAATTTTTATATTAAAGTCATCTGTATTTGATTAATTAAGATGATTGATCATGAAGTTTAAAAATAATTAATTAAGCTGTTTCCCGAAGATACAAAAGATACGTTAAAATAATGGACTTGTTCATGAATAAATTTTGAATCTGTAAAAGCCTATGGAAATAAAATAAGAATTACTATAACGACCCAATGTGAACTTTATGAATCAAATCAAAAATGTTAAAAAAACTATTTAATGAGGTTTGAACTAGGGAACTAGAAAAGGTCCTGGAAAATTACTAAAGAAAAGTCCCAAATTTTAACTGTTTTGTTTTTTTTTCGCAACTATTGTTATCTAAACTATTTTTGATTCTTCGCGAAGCATCTGCAAAGCGATAACGATAAACAGCTGGCGCTGGCCGGCGTCGCCTTTGCTGCCAATCGATCAGAGAATGAGATGGGGAGAGATCCCATGATCGGTGGTTTACTTTTGGCTCTGTGTGGGTGACACACCCCCGCAAGCTACCCCATGCCTCCCCTCCCCCCTGAGTCCTCACTGACCTAGATTTTCTAGTGAAATAAACTCATGGTAAAATAAAAACAAATGCAAAATACTCAACAAAAAACACTCACCAAGGCGTAAAAGTTTGTGTGGCAATCCTCCAAACTTGCGCCGTTTGTCTGATGATTTTGATGCGTCATAGTTCTTGGCTTGTTTTCTTCGCACAGCAGCACCTCATTTTCTCAACGTTGTTGCTTATAGTGTATTGCTATTATTGTTATTTATCCAGTGTTGTTATTTGTTGATAATTTCTAAATTCTCTAGTATTTTGCACATTTGCTTGCTTGATTTTTCTTCTTTTTTGGGATATTATTTTTTATTATTGATTCTGCTGCACGCAGACACACACACCACATACACAGATATAGGCACGGACACACACGCGAGAGAGAGTGAGAGACACACGGATACACAAATATTGAAACTCTCTTTCGTCTCGTTTTTTTGCTTTCGATATTTTGTTGTTGAATTATGTTTGTAATTTGCTATTTGATGTTTGGTTGTTTGGTTTTGATTTGATTTATTTATTTATTTATGTGTATTTTGTATTTATTTGCTCTCTCTCAGGAGAGAATTTAAACGTAAACGTTGCTTTGGCAATGAAACACACACACTGTAGAATTATGCATGTTGCTGTTGTTGTTGTTGTTTGTTATAGCTGGAATATAAAAACAATTAGACTTTTTTACACTCTTTACTTGTTCTTAGTTTCAAGATTATTGCAATCTTGTGTTTATTAGTTAATTTTCTTATTGTTTTTTTCACCTTATTTGTTGCTACACTCACACACACATATATACCTCAATTACAAGGGTTCGTTCATTCGCTGTTTCATTCATCGAAAAGAGAGCGACTCAGAAATTGACTTTTTTTCATCCGAATGCAGCGAGTATACACATACACACACACAGATTTACTTCTAGAAACACACAAACGACGATGAAAGTCGTTGGATTTTTCGTTAATCGTTGATGTAGACAAAAAATTAAATAGGTAAGAGTTTTTCGGCTTCATTATTCAAATCGAACCCAGTAAATTAAATCCTTTTCAACCAGAGAACGAACATTTTTTTTTAGCACAAGAAGAGATGAGTAATAGGGAAACACCAACACAAACACTAGCGGGTACACACACACACAAATATCCGATTGTCAGCGGACCTTTTTTCAAAGCTAACAGTACTTTCAAATATTTATATTTAATCTGTTACTCAGGCTTGCATTTCTGGCGAAGTATTTTGTGTTTTTTTGCGCACAAATGACGAGTCAGAAATTTTCGAACCGACTGCGAACGCTGGCCGCCACACACAATGGAAATTTTGCTCGCCTAGCTTTGAATCGGCCATATATAAGGTATATAGTCTGTCTGTTTGTAGTTGTAGCAGCGGCGAGTGGCGAGAGAACGAGTAGCGGCCGAATAGCGGCTTTTGCTCTTTTTTGCAGAGAGAGAGAGAGAGAGAGAGAGGGAGAAAACAAGTTTTACCAGCTAACTGCATTTGCATTGGTGTGCGTGTGCGTTAGTGGCGGCGTCTGTTTTTCTCTCTCTCTCGCTCTTTGTGCATCTCTTGGGGATGCAACCTTTTCAAGCGAGAGAGAGAACAGATCGATTAAGGGAAAAATCTGAAACTAAAACGAAACTCGAAAGAAATCCGAAATTCCATAATTTATGCACTATACAACACTACACAGACACAAACACAGTATGCGAAACGTGATACATAGACAGGCAGCATTCCTCTCACACACTCACACATACACCTACATGGCAGAGCAACCACTTTCGTAGTTTTCTTTTCGCCCTGTTTCCTCTGTTTCTGGGCAGTAATGTGTGTACACCTCAGGTTTTCAGATTTTTACTTTCGGCCACTCGAAAAAGCTAAAAAAAATGCCACCGATAACTACAAATCGCACAGTTGTTGCATATTCCTCTTCTTACATTCTCCTTCCACTCCTCTTTCTCCCACACACTCACACACACACAGCGCCGGGGCAGCAACCGCTAGAGCAATTAAAAACTATTGAACATTTCCGCTGCAATGTTTAAGCACGGCTTAAATGCGATTTAATCATTTTGCGCCACAATTATTTGTCATACAACGGCACTTGGCACTATTATTTATATTTAATTTGTTGCAGCTCTTCTTTCACTCACACACACACACGTACACCCTCTCACTTCTCGGGCATTCGCTTTTGCATTTGCATTTTTTGATCTTTTTTTTTACGTTTTATTTGATATTTTCGGTGTTTTTTCGGTTGCCGATCTAGTTTTCGCTGGTTTTTTACATTTTGTGCCACTTTCTTTTTCGCATTCACATACGGAAAAATCTGCGATCGATTTTTATAACAATTCGCAACAATATCAGGGAAAACTTGCCGTCGGCGGCGTAGCCAGTGTTGTTCGACGAAAAATCCTGCTCTTTCAACACTTCCAAGAAGTATTTTCGAATGGCTGATAAACTACCCTACTAAATAGGACCCTCCGGCCACACCGCAAAATGGTCGTCATTTGAACCATGAAAAATGGTCATACCAAAATATATTACCAAGTTTTGTAAACAATTTCTCTTTAGTTATTACACAAAGTTATAACACACTCAATATGCAATTTACTCAAGTCGAAGCCTACTAAAAATGTTTAAATGCACTGTCTAGCAGTTAAGTAAAGTTAAGTGGAGCTCCGCAGCAAAATCCAAACAGAAAACAGCTGTTAAATTTGTGGAGTAAGCTCAATGAGGACAGGATAATCGAGTTAGGCAATCGATAGCTCGAGCCAATAACAAGAGCATATAAGCTATTAGTATTACTTCAGATTATCCGACAATTATGTATAATATATTATTTAGAACATATTTGCTTTATTCCTACTAAAATTCCCACAATCAAGGGATCAGCAAGTCGATATCATTTGTTTATTTATAATTTATACTGATTAATTTTGCCATATTTTTTTATTGTTGTCATATTTTAAACTGTTGTAACCAAAAATATATCGTACCATTTCTAGCACGGTTGTGCATTGCATGCAACAGCCGCTTCACCGATATCCATCTCTAAGTGTGACCGCACTGCACCGCTCATGGCCAAAAAGTGTGCCGCAAAACGGCGCTGCCGTGCGAAAACCTGTTTTCCGTTCAAGACCGCCAAAGCACCACCCCACCCCCTGCATCCTCCACCACCCAAATTCCATGACACTGCGTGGGGCAATAAAAACAAACAGAACGCTTGGCCACCTGAGAGCGACCAACTGTAAAAGTGGGCCGCCCGAAAAGAAGAAGCTAGCGACGCAGGCAGCGGCGGACCTCGAAGATTTCACTTTTCGACGAACGATTCAGCGGAGCGGAGCTAAAAAACGCGATTTTCTCACCAGCTATTGTAAATAATTGTGGTTTTGTAGGCAAATAATAATAGGAGATAACCATGTACCGCGCCAGTGGGTTAAGGATTATGCAACAGCTGCGACGAAGGATTCCCTCGGAGATGCAGGGATTTCAAAACTTTAAAGTTGCGCCTGCGCTGCAAACTTTCACTTTCCAACAACAACAACACCAACAAGATCGCTGGACGGCAACGTCGACGGCCAGTGGAAAGCATTCCAGTCCACAGGTGGCGACCCCGCCTCCGCGACACGACTGGAATAGGGCGGTCAGCGAGGCGGAAAGGATCGTCGGCTATCCCACATCCTTTTTGAGCCTGCGCTGGTTGCTCAGTGACGAGATCGCCAATGTGGCGCTGCACCTGCGCAAACTGGTGGGTAGCGCCCATCCGCTGATGAAGACAGCCAAGTGAGTTCCGTCCCAAAGGTCAACTTTACAGTATTAAAATTTGTCTTAAAATCAATTTTTTTAATTTCTGTTTTAATTTTTTAATAGTTTTCCAAAGTTAGATTATTTAAATAAATACGAATATGTAATAATTTTATATGTGTGAAACTATAATTAATTTTTTTTTTGTTACATTTACATTTTATTTATTGGATCTTCTCTGAATTGAGACTAACAATAAGTATATAGAATCTTAAAAAATATATATATTATATATATATAATTAATGAACTTTTAAAAGTTAATTAAACCTTAGTGACTTCCATTTTTAATATGATGTGATTAAATATATTGTATTGTAATGTAAAATAGTACTAAATAATCAAAAATCTTTATTTCAGACACCTGTTATACAATGGAAAGAACACGATGCAAGCTTGGGGATTAATAGTGCTGCTGGTATCCAAGGCTGCAGGACATGCTCCTAGTGTTCCCGATGTGGAGCAGGATAAGAGTGCTGGAGTGCTCCACTCACAAAGGGCTCTGGCTGAGGTCACCGAGATGATCAGGATCTCACATTTGGTGCACAATGTAAGTTGGAAAAAATTAACTTAAGGGTAACTCATAAACTAAATAAAAGGAAATATTCAGAAGTTAAATCCACAATAAAAAGTCTCCATTGAGTTGAGCCACAAAAATCAGCTCCGTTTTTATGCAAATTAGTCTAGCAGCTTACAAGCTGTACAGATGGCTATAACTTTCCACAAATTTATTTGACAAAGGAGACGAAATTATCATAAAGTTTTCATTGAACTACACGGTTTAGATTGGAATTTAGTTTTGGTAATCAAACAAATTCAAAAGGGTTTCACAGATCGATGTATTTAACGAAAGATATAATTAAGTACGGATCTTTAACAGGATATTCAACAATCGTGAATATATTTTCCTTATTAATAAACTCCTTAATTAACTACTCAAAGCATCTTTAAAAGGTTTAAAATATATCTAAATTAATATTTTTTGTATCTTCTTTCAGAGCGTGGTTAACCTACAGTCGAGCACACAGGCTGGCCAGGATGTGGCTACTTACGACGACATGTCCTTTGGCAATAAGATAGGCCTGCTGACTGGCGACTATTTGCTGGGCCATTCCAGTGCTGAATTGGCCAACCTGCGCAACCAGGAAGTGGTGGAGCTCATTTCGTCGGCGGTGCGTGACTTCTCAGAATCCGAATTTATTGGCGAGCGGGATGAACAGAACAATCCGCTGCCCTACAAACCGGGAACCTTCCAGCGACCCTCTCTGAGTGTTGGAGTGGATTTTAACGAGCACGACGTGATGACTCCGATGCCCATTGCTCAGGTTCTTGGAAATCCTGAGGAAGAATGGGAGTGCCGCAATATACTTAATGCTGGTAGTCTATTGGGAAAATCCTGTCAAGCTTCTTTGAAGTTGGCCGGGCAGAGTGAGGAACTTCAGCGGCATGCATACCGCTTTGGCAAACATCTGGCGCTCGCTTGGCAGGCTTGCTTGGATGCCGAACCCTTTCAGTGTCCGCAACTCCCACTGGATGTTACCTTTAGCCTGGTTAGTGCTCCAGTTCTCTTCCATTTGGAGCATGATCCTGGCATGTATGCCCAACTGGAGGCGGGCAAGCAGTCGGTGGATAATATCGACTACGACAAGATCCACAAGGCAATCCTAGCCGGTCCGGCGTTGGTGAAAACCAAGGAACTACAGAGGAAACACACGGCAGCCGCTCTGGCCGTTCTGCAACATTTTCCGGCCACGGATGCTCGACAGGCTCTGGAGAACATCATTCTGGCCATGCAGGATCTCTGATCCCAAACAATCATTGCTGATTTTTCACGGGTTCAGGGCTTAGTTTAGTTGTATTTATTCCATTGGGTCATTCTTCATTATTGCAGACATTGTTGACTAATCTTAGACGGAGTAATTTAAAATACAAATTATGGTTTTTGTGCTTCGTTTTGTTAATTTGCATATTGGTGCAAGTACAAAAATGATTATTTTAAAAAAGTTTTTGAAGTCTCTAAAATAGTGCATAGACTTTATACTTAAATGTTTGGTTAATGAATAAACACTTGACAATAAAAAGTTTAATGTTTTATTTTTAAGTAATTGGAAAGATAATTGAAGCTGGGATAACTATGTTTGAATAACAGTTGCCACAATATATTATGGGTTCCTTTGTAATAATTTCCAGCAGTTTTATTTAAAAACGCTTAAATTCATAACGCCAAAAGTATTAGTTTAATTCAAGTAATAACTCAACCTAACTTAACAAAGTCATAATTTAACAAGTTAAATAAGGTACATAAAGTTGTAAATTGAATCTAATAAGCGGAACGTCTTTAAGTCCTCTATCGACCGGTGATCTTGATCAGCACCAGCTGCTTGCAGCGATCATACTCGAAATACTGTGGGAAATCCAGAGGTAGATGCTCCATATTCCAGGGCCTATTGGCAGTCTGCCGCATGAGGTATTCGTACATGGGGGCCACCGAATCGCAATCCTCCAGCGTGAACACATAACGCTTCTCCAAGGCCATATATATGGTTTTGGGCCTGCCAGTTTGGCGTCCTCGGTCAAGTAGATGATCCACCACGGAGATGAAGGCGTCGGTTAAAGTATCACAATAGATGACATCGGCAGCTAGGATTATATCACTATTGTCGATGGCTTCCAGGAGCTCCTGTGATTGTTTTTCTTTTGGGGCAAGGAAATCAAACTCCAGAACAGAGACTTGACCATTTAGGAGTTTGGAATTCCTTTGGACGTTTCCGTTGATTAATTTTAGAATACAGCCGAGATCTACATCCGTGCAGTAGATCCTGCCGGCATTGTGTATACCCGCTGCGATGCTGGTCAGACCTACACCAGCTCCGAGTTCCATTATTGTTTTGCCAGAGAACTCTTCTATTTTCGAGAAGAGGTAGTCCGCCAGGAGAAGGGCTCCTCGCCACACCTGCAATCCTACCAAACGGAGTTCCGTGGCCTCTGAATGTTCCAATTCGATCACGCCACGTCTTGGCCTTGGCACTTCAAGGTCACCATCCTTATCCGCTGTAATCCTCGCTAGCTTTTCTTCCGGATAGATAAAACGGAATTTGGACACCACTTTACCTCCATCGCGGGTCGTTTGGTAATTGTTCTCGCCGTAGATCTCCGACGTGACCGTGAACATGATCGGGTTATGTATGCATCGGGCCAAGAGCACATAGAATATATATGTTTAATGTTGCGGTCGGTCGAGACATTTTCCCCGGGCGTCGTGGACGATTACAAATCGGTATCGCCAATCGGTTTAGGGAAAATTGATTTTGAACTTTGTCTTTGCACAGTGGGTCAGATCTGGCAAAATATTTATTTTTTTGTGTTTCACTGGAATTAAATAATCAATGGTTTTTAGTTTTAATTTCAACTTAATTTAAGTTAAATATTTATTTGGCTTCATTTTATATGAAACACAATTTAATTTTTTTAAATAAAATTTGTTATGAAGGTTATATAGTGCTTAAAAGCTCACTAGAGAAATATTCTACAAATTTAAAGAATTTATTTTGCTTAAAAAAATTAAGGTTGCTTAAATGGACATTTATTAAGCTTTTGTTGTCCAAATTTTTCGAAAAGAAAATAAATGAACTATATTAATTTGTTCGGGGCATATTTTAGTCATTGAAAATAAATTAGATATTAAAGTTAATTTATATATTAAAGTATATTTATATTTATATATAAATGCGTAATTTTTGGTCAGACGTTATAATAATATTAATGATAAACATATTCTCATTTATATCCCACTGTATCAAACAGCTGTTCCAGTGCTAGTTAAAAAACACTGAAACCATTTTACAACACTGCCAATTTAGGCGTGCACCGAGAGAAGACAGTTCCATCCGAATTTAAAAGAATCATGGAAGACGAGGACGATCCCGTTGTGGAGGAGGTGAGTCTGGGTGTGGCACCATCCATTCTATACATAATCCCTCATCAATCCCCGCCAGATACCTGTGTTCCTGTCGAAGAACCTGCAGGACAGCTTGTACCTCTTCCAATACCCCACGAAAACAGAACTCCCGAACCACGATGATTCCGTGATTGTTAATTGTTGTGTGAAACCGATCGCCCAGGAGGTGAAAGTGGATTTTGGCCTGGACATTGAGTCCACCCACTTTGATCGCTTCAAGGGCGAACAATTTGCGGTGGCAGCTGATGGCAAAAATACCTTTGGAGCGGTGCCACCAAAAGGCCAGGAACGACCCACATACAAACGTGGCATTATGGACAAACAGGCCTTCACCAGCACACGATCTTTAACCGATGTGGCCAAGTACATTGTGGGCATTTATACGGATCGGGAGTTCCATCTTTCACCACTTACCTCGATTGTCCAAATGCGTCCAGCTCTTACCCACTTTGATAAGGAGGACAAGCGCAAGAAGGCGGAGCAAAAGGCCCAAACGGAGGACATGGACGAAGACGAAGTGCTGCAACAGGTCACGGTGAAGTTTGCCCGTGGTAATGCAAAAAACAGCGGCAAGGAGCAACGAGCCGGCACCTACGATGGTTTTGTGCAAAGAATAGCGGATGAACCTTGGTGCGAGGCTTACTGGCATTCGAGGGGCACACCCACCGCGGAACTGGAGCGCCAGAAACTCTTCGCCACCAGTCATCAGGGCAGTCAGGCGTTGGCCCTTGGTCCTGGCGACTATCTCCGCAAGCTTTTGCCCTACGATGAGCATGTGCAGCCGATTGTTACATCAACTGCTGCTACTGCCGCCGCTCAAGTTCTTCCAGTCTACAACAAGGCCATGTTAAAGAGTATGCCGCTGCTGGAGCAGCTTACGGTGCTCCTCAGGGATGCCCGGATGTTGTCGTTTAGCGATGTGATCGGAATACTCACGGAGCATGTGGATCCACATGTACCGGCCGACAAGGTGCTCGCTCTGCTGCCCCAGGTGGGTATCCTGCTGCACGGCAATTGGGTGCCACGATCAGAAGTGGTCTTCCCCGAAAAGATGCTCTCCCATGCCAACGGAGTATCGGCGGAACAGATGATTCGCGCCAGGGACTACATAGTAAGTCGAAAGAAAAATTGAAATATGATTTTCTAGTTTTCTGGAAAAAATTGATTTATTTTTAAAGATCTCAATTTCACTTATACGTATTTAGTCCTGTTTTGATTTAATTTTTATCTGAATTTATTTGTTAGCCTTCAGGTTGTATTTATCACTCACTAATTACTTACATTCCTTTCCCAGCTCTTCCGTTTCTCCCGCACGCCCTACCTGTTCCGCACTCAGGTGATGGCCGCCACCCAGTTGCCACCTGCGGAAACACTGGATGTTCTGAGGACCGTGGCCAGGGTGAACACTACAAAACGTTGGGAACTGTTGCTGCCACCGGATAAGGAATTCGAGCAAAAGTATCCAGAGTTGGTGGGACGCCAGGAGTACCACTGGACCGCCTCCGAACAGCACTACAACGAAATGGACTGGGCCAGGGAAACGAAGCGAGTGCGCAAGAGATCCACGAGGAAGAGTGAGTCCCAGTCGTTATCGTCATCTATGCCGCCGCCTGCAATGAATCCTCCAGCTACAGGATTCGTGGACGCGTAGCATCAGAAGATAACCTCCCAAAGGCGGAGGAACGGGAGCACAAGTCTTATACATCTAGGCACTAATAAAAAGACCAACAAGTTTATTTTGTTACAAGCAACGACGTTGTAATCAGATCAATAATTTTCGCTGCCAAAGTATTCCTATTGGATTTGGTCACCTGGAAGAGAACAGAGCCTGGTGTTTTTTTAAGCTGCTCCACCAAGGGTAAGCTTGTTTTTTCGGGTATGGTGACCACTACGGGTAGTTTGTTCTTTAATACATAACCCATGGCCGACTCAAAACGCTTGCTAAGCAGCTCCATTTTGCCTACTTCGTCGATAACCAAGAGCTCTGGTTCTGGCCGACAGTCCTTGAAATTCAGCAGCGGCAAAATGAGATCCTCAAAGTCATGGACAAACACCGAATACCTTCCCACTTTCGGGCGACGCAGTTGATCTGGAGGATTCTCTCGTGAAAGAATTCCTCGTTTTCCTTCCAGCGAAACCACATCGAATCCAATTCTTTGGCCAATTCCCGCATTTCGAACTTCTTCCGTGTAGAATCCTTGGATGAGGTGCCCTTTATTTTGCAGATTTGAACAGATATTGCGAACCAGCGTTGTTTTACCTATACCTAAAATGCGGAGTGACAACTATATAAATTTAAATACATATTTGCATTTAAAAATACTTAAAGAAGAGTACCTGGTGGTCCAGTAATTATTATAGTCGTTAAAATCGTCTTTTCCATTTCGGGTTAGCCGGTTTATTTTTATAATAAATTTAAAGAATCGGTGAACTAGATCAACCAGGAATGGGCTATTATTTATTATTTAAAAGTAGTTCCAATTTCCAACACTTTATATTTTGTAAACCATCGATATAGTAATATAAAAGCTAACAATAGAAACCCTTTAACATGAAAGGCAAACGTCTTCTTAAGGATGCCTTAAATTGAAGTCTAAGTTTAATCTCAAATAATTGTAAGTCTTTATTTTATTATTTAATTTTTTTATTTTTTTTTATTCACTATTTGTAAAATGTTTGAATAGGCATGGTTTTTAATGGGTTTTATACCAGCCCCTGCTGGTTTTTTACAACACTTTTAATGCAGTCTGCGGCACTTGAGAAGGTGGACTCACATTTGCCACGTCCACAAAATTACATTTTTTAAGTTGAGTGGGTAGAATACCGCTTTCGGTCACCACAATCGTGGACCGCGTGACAATCGTTGTTGGAGGAGGAGGATGTTGACGATACCAGGCTCTGGCCGAAGAGGAAAATGTTGTTCTGCTAAATTCGGGTGTCGAGGTGGTGGCTTCGGATCCGAATGCACAACATCGGAAGCCGAAGTGAGAGCCAAAGCGGAAGTAAATGGCGAAGCGGAAACAAAAGTAAAGGCGGAAGCGGAAAACGCAAATATGTATGTAAATTTTAGAGTTGCAGTAATTCTATTCCTCAAAAACTATTCTAGTCCTTAAAAACTCACGAAGATGCGAAACTTCACGATTTGCGAATAAAAATTTTTAGTTTAAAGAAACTACAAACAAAGTAGAGTTCGCGAATAAGGTAATAAACAGTGGCGATCAGAACGATTCTTGGGGAAATTTAAAACGAAAACTAAATCGCGGTGATTTCAGCAAACAAGTGAAATTCAGGTTCGCGGCCAAGGGAAATTTACCATTTGGATCCGCCACTGTAATAAAGGATAGAAACATTATGGTAATATGGTAAATAAACCAATCAAATAATACTACATTTCCCAAATATTTAATAAACATTACATTAATTGTTAATCATTATATTAAAAAAAAAATATTGTTATTATACATTTTATTGTTTTTTAATTTCTTTGTACACCGGCAGATTTATCTAGCCGAGGTACTTTAGAATATCCTTTAAGGGACCTTTTCGGCCTGTTTTTTCTATTTTTTTTTTACTGTTTGTCAACAAACCTAGTTCTGACTGCACAGTCTTTTTTTAACCCAGCTTTGGCAAGCTAGAGGATTAGAAACATCAATGTTTTTGGCGGATAAAATTAAATACTCGTTAGAGATGGAAGAAAATCGATGACGCGCTGCCATACATCGATATAGCCGATGTTCCGAAAACATCGATGCCATCGATGGTGGCATCGACGGTCTTCCACCTCTATATAGCCCCAAACGTCGACCGAGAAGCGCACCGTTTTTTCGTCGCGCGTGAATTGAAAATCCGTAAATCCAATTGTTGCTCGCGGTTAGTTGTGTTAGTGCCGAGAAATACCAGAGAAGTCCGGGGAATCCAAGGGCATTGCGTACGCGTGAAGTTTTGGCTCGCAGCAAGCTGCATTTTCTGTTCTTTTTATTGTGAGATTTAAAGTTGCCCTGCTTGTTCCTCCTCCGCTTCCCCGCCGCTTTATCAGCCTCTCCTCCACCTCCCCCCTTCGCGCGAGTGCGTGTGCGTGGCGGGCTATAATGTTTTGGCCATAAAAAAGTGCAACCAACCGATCCGCTAAAAGTTATAAACAAAAGCCGCGAAATGTCCGAGGCCGATCTGAAGAACCTGTCGCAAAACACGGACGGCGATCAGGAATTGCTCCTGCATCAGACCACACAATCCCTGCTGATGGCCAGCTCCATGATGTTCGTGGAAAATCCTGGAGGAGTGGGGGCTGTGCCCATGCCTGTACCCGTTTCCATGCCCCTTTCGATCGGCTTGCCCCACCATCCGATCCCCTACAACGTGGACGATCTGCTCAGGGAGAACAATGCCCTACATGCCAAAATCAAGGAGTTGAGTCTCGAGCGGGATCGCCTGCTGTGCGAGGTCTCCAATCTGCGACTCGAGCTGGATATGTCGGAGCTCAAGAGGTTACCCCTGGATCTTGATGAGAAGTAAGTGTCTGACAATCATTAATAGATATTTAAAAGGTTATAAGGGTGTTTTTGGCCTATGCCCAAAGATTAACACATTCTCTTATTGTGCATTTGGATTTTTAACTGGAATTCTCATAAGAAAAAGTCTGTTAATAAATAAAAATGTGTTGTTAATCCTTGAAATTTTTATGAAATATTTATTTATTAAATGCTTTTAAAGAAAAAGTTCTTAAACTAAGATTCGTTAAAAGATAGATTTTTTGGGAATATTTGGAGATAACGTTGGAACTGAGTTAATCAATGAATATTACTTGAATTACTCTTTGAAACAAGAGCATCCATTTGAAATATTGTGAAGGAGGCATTCATAATTATTTTGGTTTTTTGTTACTATATATTTTGTTTTAAAAATACATACAAGAATTCACGGCCAGACCTCTTATTTTGTATGGGCTTTTGTTCTTTTTTTAGTGGTTCTTATCAGGGCGGCATTTGATTTTCAAAAGCTATGTCAAGGCCCTTTGAAGTTTTTTATTGGTATATATTTATATAAACTCTAAATTGGTTCACATGTACATATGTGTTTTATGTATTCGTTATTTTGGCGAATAAAGTGAAATTCAAAGAATAAATGCTAATATAATACTTTTTGGAACAAGAAACCCTTGCTGGATTTCTTAGCTATAAGTTATCAGCTTTTTTTGAAGAAATATTAAAGATTAATTTATAAAGCAGCTTTTTGTGTCATAAAGCAATCATTTAGGAGGCCTTTTGGGTTTTTTTTGGCTGTGATCGCCATTTTTGGCTGCATTTCCTTAACCCCCAACCTCATTATTTCCTTGCCTGGAGTGTCGTTGTTGACTCAACTTCTGGTTGAGTCACATTTTCGTCCCCTTGTCCTTGCCACCTTGGCAGCTGCAGGCTGACAAGTCCGTCTTACTGGTTTTTGGTTTTTGCAACCCCTTTTTGCACTCCCTACTACCTGTGGGCTAATCGACACAGTCGTGGTCGCAATTTTAAGTGCGCAACGCGCGATAGGAATTTCCGTACATAAAAACTCGCGCTTATCTGGGCCAGAACATTAGATAATGTTATATTTTTTCTTTACCAAATTGAATGAGTCATTGTTCTGTTAGAACCATAGTTGCTCTCACCCTATCGAACACACCGAATTCTCTGTTTGTTTTAAGCTCCTATCAGTCTGTTTTCCCTTGCTGATAATTAATAGTGGCACTCTGGCAGATAAGGAACAGTCTCACGGAAATTCAATGTTAATACCAAGTTTCGATCACTTATTTGGGAGATTAACCCGACAAATGCATGGGTAAATAAGCAAAGAAATATTTATAACGATACGCCTGGCTTTGCCATTGACAGCCGAATAAAGGTGGAAATATCTCAATATTCGTACCTGACTTTGTTTTGCATGCGGTCATGCCCGACCGCAGACAATCTGAAAAATAGATATGTATATACACAAAGTGGGCGCAAATAAAGCGCAGTTATCTTTAACCGTTTTCTTTATTTCGGGGCTTCTTGGCCTTTAAGGTCTGCGAGAAGAATCGTGGGCTTTTCCAATTATTCGCTTTGCGTTTTCTGTTTGTTTTTGTTTTGCGCGCTGCTCACCTTCGCAAAACATATGAAACTACAACATTTTTTGAATTTCAACGGAGATTTCAGTCAAAGTTTAAATACTCTCTAAGAAGTTTTCAGAAACGTTATGGTTTATTCAATATTCAATTCTATTCGCGTATTTGATTAAAGCTTATCAATTTCGTGTGTGTATGTATCAGCTAAACTTTAATCTAAATGGTTAAATATTGACTTTATAATATCAAGCACAAAATGATCCCTCAACTAAAGTAATACTTTCCAATCAGAATTTTCAAATTAGATTTCATAAATCTTGTGAACTTTAAACATAAAATTCGAGTAAATTTATGAATAATCTATTTGGTTAATAAATCAGTAAATAAACACTTCGTTCTTTTTATTCAACAGCCATATTTATCTATCAATATCCATTCATTTAAATTTCTAAATACATAACCCAAACAAACTCATATCTATAAACAAAGATATTTACAGAGCATGCCAATTGAGATGTTATTAAATGAAACTACGGCCCAAAACTAATAAAATTAATCATGAAAATCTTTAAATCAACAAAATTAAGCAAGGCCAGTTTTCTGTTTTGCCAATTACTCTTTGTTTATAAGGTAAATATGACCACGATAAATTTATTTCTCCTTTTTTTCCCCAACCAAAGGAACCACAATTTTTTACCTTTCAATTAGCATAACTAAATGTAATGTGCAAATGCTTACCATACCTTAGATTCACTCTTAGATAGTTTGTACAAGATAAGCCGCACGCACCGAGTCGCATTCGAGTTGGTTATATCTTTCATTATGAGAAGAGTATGACACGATGAGACATAAAACTCAAGATCAGAGATGTTGTTGAAAATGTGCGGGCAGCTTTTTGAGTTATGAGTAAAGTTCCTCTGCTTATGGTTGTTGTTTTTCCCAGGGTAACTTCTGCATTTGGTCACTCCACACTTCACTCATACTCTCTCACAGTTGGAAAATACACAGGAAGAAATGGGATCTAGTGCTAAACAAGTAACAGAAAAGCATTCGTTGTAATATATTTAAATAATGTAACATCGAATTCGAAACTTTTAATGTAACAGATCTTATAAATACTTGACGTTTGGCAATGTTTTACGTTATAATATTTATTCCAACTTTTATTGAAATTTTTTAATTAAAAAAAATAATGGAACTGTATTTAAGATGTGTACCAAAACATGGTTTAACTCTAATATAATATTCGGCTAACAAATTAATTTTTTCTGATTATTATACAGGTGTTCTGACTATTAAGGTTAATATAATCTTATAATGTCAATGGCAATGTCATAATATTTTGTAACCCTGTAG